CATCGGGCTCCCTGCTCAGCGGGAAGCCTGCTTCTCCCTCCCCAACTCCCCCTGCTTGTGTTCCCTCTCTCGCTGTCTTTGTCAAATAAATACATAAAATCTTAAAAAAAAAAAAAAAACTAGATTAAGTTTCAAGCAAATAAGAAAGATGCCACTCAACACCTGCATGGGCCTGGAGAGAAGACAGACACCACTGGTGCTGAACTCAGGGGGTTCGAGTCTGTACCTTAAAAATGGATGCATCCACTTCCTGATTATAATCTTGTTTGCCGGCGTGTTTCCAAGGGATCCGGAACATGCTCTTCTCATCATTTTCCCAAATCAGCCCTGGGTACATGTTGCTGTCGATTTGCTCGATCAGCCACTGCCGAAGCCTCCGGCCACCATTCCGGTCACACATCCTTGGAGAGAAAAGAGCACGTTCTGTGATATTACAGATATTATCTCATTAATCACAGCACCCCGCGTACTTGAGAGCCAAGAACTGCCAACAGGAAAATCAGAGGGCTGCAACCCAGGTCCCAGCCTCGCAGAAACCCACGGACCCTGGGACCCTGGGCCACCTGCCGTGGAAAGACTGTGCCCCCCCTGGGCCTCAAACCCCTGAACACTGAGAGCTCCCCGGGAAATCTGCCACTGCCCCGCACCAGATGTCCGTCCCCCCTGAGGTTCCAGCTGGTACTCCTTCCAGCCTTACCCATTGCTCCGTTTCGGGCAAACACGGCCACATCGAAGGACACCATTCCATTTTTAGCATGAGATGGGGAATAATCACCTTTACATTTCCATGTCCTTCGATGAGCAGCTCATCACCCTGAGAGCCAATTCCCTGACTTGATGCCCAGTCTGACCAGCGTTTCTTAGCAAATATGACATCTGTGCGCTCCAAGAAAAAAGAGATCCTCAAAGCTATCCCTTCTAGATTGTTCCTTCACAGATGGGTTATTGATAAGAGCAAGAGTTTGGGAATGAGACAGAGCTGGGGTCCCATTTGAGTCCCACCATCTCCCAGCTGGGTGACCTTGTATCATGATTTAACCTTGGAGTGCCAGCTACGGGGGCTAAAGCCCCAGAAGAACCATCAGTACTCGGCATCTTTGGGGTGAGGGCTCAGAGGATGCACCGGAGGCCATGCCTGGACCTTAGAAGGTTCTCTCTAAATAACACAAGTTATTATCCTAACTTTCTTCCTCAGGAACTCCTACAACCACTTAGAACAAAAGCAAGGAAATCAAATGGGGCCATAGAACAGGGCAAAGTCAGCCAGGCTAGACTCTTCCAGAAAGCACCAGAATTTGGGGACCTCACCAGGGTGCCCAAAGACATCCTTTGGAAGAACATTCTTGCCAGAACAGGCAGCTTTCCCAACAGCAGACAGAAAAAGAACAATCATGCCGTATCGACGCACAGCCCACATTTACAAGAACAAGGGTGGAAATCCCCTAGACAGTTGGACAGACGTCCACCAAAAAAAAAAGGCTTTTCTATTCTTCTGATTAAACTGTGACCTCCTTGGGCAAATAGGTTTGAAACCATCAGTAGTGACAAGACACAATGTCCCCAAGAATATGGTCACATCCAGAGCAATGCTGGTCCATAAAGCAAGTGCATGACTTGGAAGCCAGCCACCCTCCAGGTGGCTGTGGGATCAGAAGAGGGGTCCAGGTCCTGGGAAGAAGGTGAATCCCAAGTGCCGACTGTAACTTTTCCATGCCCACTGGTGGGTGTAAAAGGGGTGACGTGGGTGGAATTAGGAATTGGACTTGGATTTGGAAACTGCAGACCCAGCAATGGCTTTTCTCCAACCTGACCTCGGGAAAACCACCTGAACCTCTCTGAGGCTCTCCTCAGCGGCAAGGTGAATGGAATTGCATCTCAAGCATCCCAGAATTCCTAAACAGTCCCTTATGCTTCTAAATAAGAAGGTACAGATTTAGGAGGGACACCTAGAGAGAGAAAAGAAACCCCACCACTGAGCACCCCCCAGAAAATAACCTAGGACCGAACTGATTCCTACAGATCCTTTCAGTGGGGAAAGCCAGGAGAATCTCGCCTCGCTTGAGGAGTGAGCTGCGTGCAGGAGGGGGGCTAGAGGGGCCAGAACACTACAGGAGGGGTGGTGACTGTGGGTCTGTAAATGCAGTGAAATGTGCCCACTCGTTAGGACTTTGTTCACCCCCTTAGCACAAGGTTTGTAAACCAGAGTCCATCCTCCAGGAGCCTCCTGAAAATGAAAAGCAAGATTTTGTTTGTATGCGCGCTTTTCTAGAAAATGGGTCAACACCTTCTTATCAAGATTTCTAATGGATTTGGGGTGCCTCAGCTGGTTCAGCGTCTGCCTTTGGCTCAGGTCATGATCTCAGGGTCCTGGGATGGAGCCCCACGTCGGACTCTCTGCTCAGCAGGGAGTCTGCGTCTCCCTCTCAATCTGTGATCTCTCTCTCCCTTGCTCGCTCTCAAATAAATAAATAAAATCTTTAAAAAAAAATTTTTTCTGATGGATTCATAGCCCCCAAAACTGTTAAGGACAATGGTCTTGGTGATTTATAAGGACAGGAAAAGAGAAAATAAAGTTAAGAGAGAGGTCAATGAGAGGAAAAGTGAATCACATAATATGAAAACTGGACAATACTTTAGAAACCATCTAATCCAGCCTGTTTGTGCTCACGGGAGGAAACACTGAAGCCCAGAAGGGCACCCTGACCCCCAGGCACCGCAGAAGGGTCTTACTTTGCTCACTCTGCAGAGAAAAACTAAGGCTACGTTACCAGATCGAAACACGTGGACAGCCCCACCTGAATTCTCACTGAGGTCACCTCTAAGACTCTAAGTGGCAATAGAAGCCTAAGGTACTAGTCCCATGATGACCCCACTATGATTTATGGAACGCTAACGCATTAATCCCATCAAATGTCAAGCCAGAAAAACAATTCATAAGCCCGGTCACATGTTCATAACTTCCTCTTCCTTGATTTTTAATCATTCTCTTTATGGGCCAAATCCTATCTGGAGCTAATCTGCATCCCAATAAATGGGTCCCGGGTATCAGGCTTCCCAGGCAGGAGGTGATAAGAGGCTGCGGTGGCCCCACCCAAGGCAGATTCCAGGATTCCAGGATGTGCCTAGGAGGTGGTGCAGGACTCACCTCCCACACCTTTCAGGGCCCCAGGCAAGGGTGGCCACAAATCCCCCACCCCCAGACTAAAAGCATCAAAGCCATTTGTCACTTTGACCCCAGTCTTTCTGAAATAACTGAACCACTCCCAATTCTTTTCTTGGAAGAACCTGCCATAATCCCAAAGGACATGCTCAGAACCAGCTCCTAACTTAGGTTTAAAAAAAAAAAAAAAAAAAAGTGTTATATCGCCCGACATGTTGAAGGGGTATTTTAAAATTCTGGAACATTCAGTATCTAGTTTCCATTCATAAAGCACTCCAAAGCCCTGGATAAGCAGCATATCTCACTTTGTAAAGTCTCCCCTTTGCCCTGGGGTGCATTTTGCACCCAAAAGCTCCTGTTAGCAGTGAGCCCTACAAAGCTAGGGCTTTCTTGCCAGGGACCACTGGGCTATATGATGAGAGCGAAGGGCCTCAGAGCCCGCTCAGAAATCGTTAACTGTCATCAGGCAGAAGAAAACCCCAGTGTGCACCCCCTTCCACCAACTAGGTCACACAAAAACGGACGGTCACCGGGCAGTTTCTTGGTCGTGACCCTCCGAGCGCTACTCCAGGCAGCAGGACTTGGGCGGGACCGGAGAGCAGGTCTTGCAACAAAGGGGTCAATGTTTCCCCTCACTAGATAGGCCATTCTACGGTCTTCCATGCAAACCCGACTCTAAGAAAAATGGGATTTTTTTTGTCAAGCATCAGCCACTTGGGGACCCGCCACCCCGTGCTCAACGCCTGGACTTTGGGTTTGGGTTCAGGAGGAAGAGCAGAGGAGGAGGAGAGACGGAGCCGGGCCGGCCCGGCCGTCTACCGGCCGCCGGGCTGC